GGGGAGGATAGGTGATGGGAAGGAGGATGGATGGATGGGAGATGAATGGATAGATGGACATTTAGGGAGCTGTTGAACGGAAGCCTGGATGAATGGAGAGACAGGCTGGCAGGCCTATGAGCTCCCTGCACCCCTCTTCTGCTTCCCTGACTCACCGTGACAGTGGCCAGCAGCCCCTCAGGCACGTAGGCTACCACGATGGCCATGAAGAAGACCATGGCTCGCAGGAAGGTGTAGCCGATGCACATGGCCACCACAAAAAATGTGCCCCCAAAGAGGATGGCCAGGCCTGCGATGATGTCCACAAAATGCTCAATTTCGATAGCGATGGGTGTCTTCTCATTTTCTACTCCCGAGGCCAGTGTTGCGATGCGCCCGATGATGGTGCGGTCACCTGTGTTCACCACCAGGCCTTGTGCTGTGCCTGCGGTGGGGCCAAGAGGGAGACTCAGGGCTGGGTGGGCAGCACTGGGGGCGTGCATGGCAGTGTGAACTGAAGGAGGGGCAGTCATGGAAGGCAGTGGAGGCAGTGTGACTTGGGAAAGGGGTAAAATGGTGGGAGCTAGAGAGGCAGTGTGACCCCAAGAGGTGGCAGTCACTGAAGTGGGGAGGCAGTGTGTCTCAGAAGGGAGCAGAGGAGGGGAAGTGGAGGCAGTAATGGGGGGGTGGCAATGTGGTCAGCTGGGCAGGCAGGCGGGGATCTCACGGACCCTCAAGGCACATGGTGGAGAAGAAGGCGATGTTGCGGGTCTCCAGGGGGCTCTCATGTGTGCACTCGGGCGAGCGGGTCTGCGGCTCAGACTCTCCGGTCAGTGAGGAGTTGTCCACCTTGCAGCCCTGGGCCTGGAGGATGCGGATGTCGGCTGGCACTCGATCCCCGCCTTTCATCTCCACCAGGTCGCCCACCACGAGCTGATTGGCATTGATCTGGAACTTGTCCCCGTCTCGGATCACAGTGGCTTGCTGTGGGGCAAGGGCACCAGAGTTGAGGAGGGCGAGGGGTGGGGGTGGAAGTTGCTGAGTGCCATGGGGATGTAGGAAGGGGAGGAGAGGTGAGGACCTGTGGGGAGAGATGGAGGCCAGGGCTGAAGGGCTGCTTGGGCCTGGTGGGAAGGGCCCCAGAGAGAGGCCAGGAGCCTGCCTGCACCAGCGTGGAGACTTGGAACCTGATGTGGCTGGGGGCTGGGGACCCACCTGGGGCACGAGGTTCTTGAAGCTGGCAATGATGTTGGTGCTCTTAAACTCCTGATAGTAGCCAAAGCAGCCGGTGACCACAACCACAGCGATGAGGGCCAGTGCCAGGTACAGCTGGGGGGGGAGGGGATGGGTTATGACTAGGGGCTGGGAGCTCCCTGCACGAGGCCACCCATTTGCTCTCTGGTCCCCTGGTGGTTCCCCTCCTGGGTGTGACTGGTGTCCCTGTCCCCATATCCCACATCCAACTCCCTGCATTCTCGGTGTCTTGTGTCTTGTGTCCTTGTGTCCATATATGCCATATTCTCTGGCCCCTGTGTCTCCATGTCCTATGACTAGTGCCCAGTGTCACTATGCACCTTGGTGGTCCGTGTTCCCTTTTCCTGTGCCCCCAGGTCTTGCATTCCACCTCGTCCTCTGTCTCACATTCCCATGTCCTACAGTCCCTGTGTTCCAAGTTTCATATTCTGTGTTTTCATAATCTGTGTGCCATCCTCTGTGTCCCCTGTGCCCATACAGTTCCTGGCCCTCACGTCCCCCTTTCCATGTGTCCTGCAGGTCTCATGCTTCATATTCGGTGTCCTCCACGATCCGTGCCCCCGTTCCAAATTCCAAGTCCCTATGTCCGATGCCTTCTCATGTCTGTGTATCCTTGAGTCTCCATCCTGTGTCACAAGTCCTATGACTTTTCAAACCCTTGTTCAATGTCACATGTCCCTAAGCCCCTATGTCATATATCCAGTGTCCTCTTGCCCTGCCTTCACTAGTCTCTACATGTCTATGCTTCAGTGTCTAATATCTCATTTCTCTCCATGCACTGTGCCCTGAGTCTTGTGTTCCCATGCCCTTGTGACCCATGTCTGAGTCCCAGCGTACCCTGTGCCCTCTGTCTTTGGTTGATTCCATGTCCTCATGTACTCTGTTTCTTAAGTCTCATATCCTAAGTGGTTTTAGATCTCTACCAATGTCTTCCGTCTCTGAGACACATTTTCTCCTGGGTCCCCCATCACCTCTGTCCTTGAGCTTATTCCATATCCCAATGTCCTTTGTCCCCCACGATGTCTTAGAGCTGCATTTCCTTGTCTCTATATCCCCATCTATGTCACTCGTGTCCTGAGTCCCATGCTCAATGTCCCCTGCCCCCCAGGTCCCTGTGTCCGACCTCAGGCCCCCAGCACCCTCCACTCACGTTGTCATCCGTGGTGAGGTCACCCTCGCTGGCCTGGATGGCGAAGGCAATGAGGCAGATGGCTGCAGCCACCCACATGAGGCACTGCAGACCGCCTGCCAGCTGCCGCGCAAACTTGACGTACTCGGGGGTGCCCCGCGGCGGCTTCAGCGCGTTGGGCCCATCTCGCAGCAACAGCTCCGCGGCCAGGCTGGCAGACAGGCCCTGGGGACGGGGCGGGGCGGGGTGGGGTGGGGTCGCGGTGGTCACTGAGGGCTCTCTCATCATACACTCCTCGGTGGGTCGCTCTTCTGCCTCCATCTCCTTCCCCTCCCCCTTCCCTCTCCCTCTCCTCCACCTTCTTCATTTCTCTCTCCATCTTTGTCTCTGTTCCTGCCCCTTTCCCCTTCCCTCCTTCGTGTTTCTTTCTTCTCTCCCATCTTCTCTCTCTCTTTCTTCCTGCTGTCTCTGCCTCCATCTCTCTTTCTATCTCTTTTTGTTTGCTTCTCTTTCTCTGTCTCTTTCTGTTTGGCCTTTTCTCTCCAATGCATTTCCCCCTTCTCTCTCTCTCTCTCTCTTTTCTCTCTTTCTTTCCTCTGCACCCACCCCTCCCTCTGCCCCAGCTCACCTTGGTCGCGCTGGTCTGGTATTTCTGTTCCAGCTCCGCCACTGACAGCTGGTGGTCATTCTGTATGGTGGGGGCAGGACACTCGCTGTCTGGCTCTCGTGGGTCCCCACCCCCGCCCTTGCCCAGTCTTGTCTAGCCCCCTGCCCAGCCCCCAACCCAGCCCCCTGCCCCAGGCTCACAATCTCCATCTCCTTCTTCATGTTCTCGAGCTTCTCCTTCCTCTTGCCTCCTCCACCTCCCGCCTTCTTCTTGCTCATCTTGGCTGCCATGTCTCCACCAGGCCCAGGACCCAGCTCCACCTGGTACAGCTCGTAATTCTCCTGGGGTCAGATGGGGAAGGCATCAGATCTCACTGGAACCCCTGCCTTCAACCTCCACCCCTGGACCCCTGATCCCACTCACTGCCTTCCCCATGGTGCCCGGTACAGCCGCCCTGCTTTGCCGAGACAGAGCCTGGGGTCTGGACCAGCCCTGATATACCCAGGGAGGGAGGAGGTGGAGCAGGGCAGGCCTGATTACAGCTGATTACGGGGCTCCTTGGGGTGACCTCCAGGCCTGGGCAGCTTGGGCATTCCCAGCCTGCCCGGACCCCATCACAACCTGCCACTGAGATCAGGGAACCACTGGGAGTAGCCATACTAACAACAACAGGAATAGCAAACACATGGTGCTCATTATGTGCCTGGCACTGTGCCAAAGCCTGTCATCTATTAACTTATTTAATCTCACAACTACCCTTTGAGGTAGGTACCACTCTTACTCCCTACCCCCATTACAGATGGGGAGGACTGTGGCCTGGAGCAGTGAAGTCACTTGCAAGCGACGATGTGAAAGAGTCAGGACCCAGAACCAGGCAGATGGCTGCAGTGTCCTCTTTTAAGCCTCAGAGCAGGCATCAGACACCTGGCGGGGAGGGCGCCCACAGAGGTCGCTGTAACAGCTGCCGACCAGGGAGCACTTACTCTGCGCTGGGTCTGCCCTGTGTGTTTGCTCGAATGTTTCCTTAGCTCCTCACAACAGCCTTACAGTTATGTTCTCTTTTTAGCCCCCATAGTACAGGTGAGGAAACCGAGGTGCAAAGAGGTTAAGGACTTGGCCTAAGGTTGAGATGATTCAGTTTCCAGGACAGGATTCCAGCCCAGGTTTGACCCCAGGAGCCTGGTTCTTATAGGGTACCACCGGAGAAAACACCCAAACAGCAGCAGCGCCAAGCACGTCTGGGGACTGCACGTGTGTGACCTCATGGATCCTTGCAACAAACCCCTTTGAAGATGACACTATGATTCCTTTGTGCAGAGCGGGAATAGGAGGCTCGGAGGACCCCAGAGGCACTCCACACTCCAGACAGAGCCATCACAGCCGTCAGTCGTGCCCTCGCCCCCAACCCAACCTGCTCAGATGGGGAAACCAAGGTGCAAAGTGGGGAAAGGATGTGTCTAAGAGGCCTGGCTCAAGCTTGGTGCTTGGTGCCAGGTTGGAGGTCTGGAGACCCCCCTCCGAACCCCCCAGGGAGGGACCTTCACAGGCAGCAGGGAGGGGCTGGCCTGGTGGAATGGTGGGTATCTTGATACCTCTTGCTTGGGCCTCACAGGGTGGATGTGTCTCCAGGGGCAAAAGTGGGCAGATCCGATAAGATAATTGCCTTGGCGATGTCCTTCCCTCTGCGGTAGGTCATCTGGGAAAGCTGAAGCTGTGGAACAGCAGGAGGCCCCACCCCCACCCCGCCTGGCTGTCCCCAACCTGCTGCAGGAAACTGCAAGAGAGGAGGTAGGGCCCAAGTCACCCTCACTGCCCCTGCCATGAGTCCATGCACTGAGCCTTCTCTATGAGCCACGTGTGTAAAGCAGCTGTGTCACTCCACTGCTTACAGCCCTCCAAGGACTTCCCTTCTCTCTCAGAATAAACTCCAAAATCGTTCCTGCAAGATCTGGCCTCGGTTCACCTCTCCCAGCTTGGTCTCTGCTACAGATCCACTGGCACTGGCCTTGCTATGCTTTGTACAGGCCAAGGTCATTCCTGCCCCAGGGGCCTTCTGCCTGGTCCTGTCTTCCTTAGATATCAGCATGGCTTTTTCTCATCGCCAGGTCTCAGTTCATATGTCCATATGTTCAGGGTGTCCTCACTTGTAATACTGCACCTCATCAGGCTCCATCCCCTGACCCTGCTTTACTCACACCCCTTATCCCAACCTGACACTTGTTTGGTGTCAATCTTGTCCTACTAGAAGGAAGACTGGGACCTGTTTGTGTCTGCTGCTATACGCACAGCACCCAGAACTGTGCCCTCGGACACACAGGAGATGCTCAGCAGTCACTGTTGGATGTTGAACAGGATTTATCTCACCCGTTGGTCGGGAATATTCACTAACAAACCTGGAGACCCTCAGGAAAATCTCAGTCATTGGAAACTCCTCTGGTGTATCCAGAGCCTGGGCAGATATGGGGTCGTGTCTGTGCAGATTAGAGAAGCCCACAGCCTAAGTCACAGATGGAGAGACCAAGGCACCATCACTGGCAGGGATGGCTGACCTGTGATACTGTGCAGACCTGTCAAAACTCAGAAACTGTCCTTCAGTCCCTGCCTCACTTGTTTTTCTCATTTCTTAGTTTTATTGTTTTGTGTTCATTTTCAATGTTTTAAGTATTTCAGACCTACAAGTTACGGGGATAGTAAAAAAGAACACCTGCCTACCCTTCACCTAAATTTAGTGATTTTACCACATCTATGCTTGATAGATAGATAGACAGACAGGCAGATAGATAGATAGGTTTTTTAAAGTTTTGCCTGAATCATTTGAGAGTAAGTTGGAGACAGGATGCTTGTTTACCCTTAAATGGTTAGGCATGTGTCTCCTATGAATAAGGACACTCTCTTACGTAACCACAGTCCAATGATCAAATTCAGGAAATTAACATTGATATGACATTATTAACAGATCTAGAGGATCTATTTGAATTTCCCCAGTTTCCCCTCTCATGTCCTTTTCTTGGTCCAGGATCCAATCCAGGACCGCACTTGACATTTAGTTGTCCTGGCTTCTTGGTCTCCTCCCATCTATGACATTTCCCCCATCTTTCCTTGTCTTCCATGACCTTGACATTTCGGAAGAGTATCCACTATTTTGTAGTTTCCCTCTATTTGGGTTTGCTGATGGGTCCTCGTGACTGGATTCAGGTTGTGCCCTGTTGGCAGGAGCACAGCGGTGATGTGTGTCCTCCTCTGAGCCTCATGTCAGGGCAGGCTTCATTTTTCAGTCTTTAAGGGATCCGGAATGGGGTGGACATTGGTGACTGTCAAGAGGCTTAGGGAATGACCAGAGGGCTAGCCTACGATCCATTTATTTTCTGCTCAAAACACCGTCACAGCCACAGCTGGTGCTCAGCTGGACTGGTGATTCAAGTAATGGAAACATGGCCACCACCTGAGTCCCCAGACTTCCCACACCCAGCCCAACGACCCTGCTCCGGCCACATGGCCAGGTCCATTCTCACTGTGTCAGTGCCCAGCCATGTTGACAGTTCAACAGTTTTACCAGTCCTCCTGATGACACAGCGTTTAGATGCTACTCAAGTTCTGTGTCTTTGTGGGGTGGGGGTGGGGGTCTTTGCTTGTGTGCTTATTTTTTCACTGTGTGTCCAAGCAACCCTAACCCTGTCTGGGAGGTGTTGCCCACAGGCAGGATCTGGACAGAGCAGGAGGGGCACCAATGTTGGCACCTGGAGCAGAGCCTGGGCGGACTGCCATGCGGGGAGGGGACGAGCAACTCCCGGCACGACTTAGGGGCAAAGACTTCTCACCAGAAGGTTGCAAGCGTGACACAACCCACTTAGCACAGTAGCGCTAGATTTCTCTGAGCTGGGGGCATTCGGATCCCTAAGACTTTTTAGAGAGAAGTGAGTGGTCAGAACTGAAAATTTCTTTCCTGTGAAAGAGAGAGCAGAGGACAGATTAACTGGATGGTGAACATTCGAGTGGGTTTTCAGGGGAATTTGTACAAGAGTTCCTAGAATCATGAGCACCCATACTCTCAGGGACTCAGCATCCTACAGGCCTGCTGGGATCAGACCCCTGGCTGTGCTGCCTCCTCCCCACGTGCCACTTGCCCTTTTTGTGCTTGAGGATGTCTGTTAAAATTATCATTTGGAGACCCTGGCCCATGAAGTTACCTCTGCCTGAAACACTCACACTACATCCTCCCCACATTCAACTACCCCTCATCTTCTCGGCTGCAGAGCAGACATCCCTTCCTCCAGGAGATCTTCCTGGACCACCCAGCAGGCTGGGTCAGGTACGTCCCCTGGGCTCCCACAGACCCCTGTCTCAGCCCTGACCACTCTGACCTGTAATTCCTCCTTCACAAGCCTGACCACTCCGGACTGTCGCTATTTGGTGACACTTCATTTCCCACCCCCAGACTCCTGACGACAGGATCCAGGATGTCCCAGTCACCAGCCACTGTGTACTCTGCATCACCCATCCCAGAGTTGGCCCAGGTTGGCCTCAGGGAGTGTTTGCTGAGTCAAAAAATTCATTGTGACCTTGACTTTCTGTATGTGTTTGGTCTCTCTGATAAGATAGTGGACTCAGCAATGCCCTTCTCTTCCTGGGCAGGTCACCCTTCCCCCACCAGCACCCCCACATCCAGACCCTAGGAAGATTGGAGCTAGAGGCCCTGCAAGTAAGGACCTGGTTTCTCCCTCCTCTTCAAGCTGGCGGAAGAGCAGGCAGTGGGTCCACAAGTGAGGAGCAAAGTCGCCCCCCCCCCGGCGAAGCTGGCAGCCAAGTCTCCTGTGTTTGACTCCTCTTCCACCTTTGTCCAGATGTGGAAAGGTCCACTGTCCTCAGGCTGGCTTTGCTAGGCTTCCTCTCCTGGGATCTTAAAATCATATCCCAATTCCAACTGTCTCTCCCTTTTCTGCTCTCACTCTGGTTCAACCTTCATCCCTTCCTGCCTGGTTTCTCACGGCAGCCTCATTCTCATCTCCCTGCTCCCAACCCCGCCCTCACAATCTGCTCCCCACACACAGCCAGAGAGAGCCTATGAACCCCTCCCTGAGTCTGATCAGGGCCCTCTGGCTCAGAGCCCTCTCCGGGGCTTCACTTAGCTTCCGCTAAAAGCCAAGTCCTCACATTAGGACCCAAATCCCTAGGGAGCTGCCCTGTCGCCACCCTCACCTCACCTCCTCCTCCCTCCACGTGCTGGGTCTGTGCCAGCCACACTGGCCTCCCTACTGTGCCTCAGACAGCAGGACCCAAGTCCTACCTGCTGGCCTTTGCATTTGTTGTTTTCTCGTCCTGGAATGCTCTTCCCCGAGATGTATGCATGGCCCCCTCTCTCCCTCCGTTGGGTCTTTATACAACTGTTGTCTTCCTACTGAGACCTTCTTGACTAACCCAATTAAAACTGTAACCCGCAGTCTCCCTCCCACCCTCTCCCCTTCCATTACCTTCTCTACTTCTCCCTCCATAGCACTTCTCATTTTCTAACCTATGCAATTTTTCTTATTTATTGGGTTTCTTGTGTGTTTCTTTTTTTTTTTTTAAGTGTGTAGCATTTTCAATTTTTTTTAACGGAGGTACTGGGGATTGAACCCAGGATTGTGTACGTGCTGAGCATGCGCTCTATTGCTGAGCTCTACCCCCGAGCTCTACCTCGACCCCTGCCTGTGTATTTCTGAATTCCCTGATAGGATGTAAGCTTCATGAGGGCAAGGACTTTTTTGCCTGGATTTTTTTTTCTGACTGATGTATCCCTAGTGCCTAGAATAGCAAATAGCGAGCACACAAACTTTTGTTGGGTGAATAAACCTCAGAGTCCTTGGGACACTCAACAGCATGCAGCAGCCATTGTAGCCACAAACACTGACATGGACACATGGTCCTGCCTTCGGGTGATGTTCTTTGTCGACCAAAGACACATGTCCCTAACCTAAAACAGAGGGACAGACACATATAGACACAATGACAGGAAGCCCACGATGACAGCTGACACTCACTGAGAACTTACTGCACTCAGCCCTGTCTTCAGTGCTTCTATGTGTGAGCTTGTTTCCTCTTCATAACAGCCTTACGAGGAAAGTACTGTTCTTATTCCTATTTTACTATGAAGAAACTGAGGCATGGAGAGGTTAAATGACTTGGCCAGAGATACACAGCTAGTCGGTAGCAGAGCCAGGACTTGAACCCAGGCAGCCTGGCTGGAAAGTCCTCACAGACCTGAAAATACACCACATCACACCAGGACCCATTTGACAAAAAGGCCTCACATTAAAACCATCCTCCATTCAATAATTTCTGGAACGTTTATTGAGCATCTACCATGTGCCAAGCTTTTTGACCGGGAGGTGGTGAGACAACTGGGTCTTGGAGCTTACGGGAGAGGCTGGCATTGGGACCCAAGATGAGGGTGTTGTTAGTATAGAAACTTAAAATGAGGCTATGGAAAGTGAGACAGCTTCTGGCAAGGGTTGGAGGAAGAGCAAGGAGGGGAGGGCAGAGCCAGGGCACAGCTCTGGGAGACACGCTATCAAAGAATATGAAAGCACAGCCTTAGAGGCGTGAGAATCAGGACATGGGGGTGGGGTAGGGAGATCAGGAAGCAAAGAAAAAGGAAGCCTCATGAAGGAGCACATGTTCAGCAGTGTCTTGTGTGTCTGAGTGCCCCAAGTGCCCAGCACGGAGCCTGGTACACAGCTGATAGTTCATTATTTGCTGAATGAAGCCATGGTTGACACATGGTCAAAATCACACATATTTTTTATAGAAACTGTGACATCTCAAGGGTTGTTATTTTATGATTAGGACAGGCCAACTCCCCACTCCCCACTCCCCATCCCTGGCAGGGAAGCTTGAGAAAATTGAGGTTAGAAAAGGTATTCTTGGATGGAGACATATGCAAAGCTCAGAATGGGGTTCAAAAGCCAGGGATGAGGGATACAGGTCTCCTGATCCAGTCGTCCAATCTGGGAGGCAACATTTGGGAAGGGGGTTGGTGGTTGGTAAGGAGATGGGACGTCTTTGGTCACAGCTTTTTCCAACTTCCAGCCTATTAGAAAAGGAGAACCAAGAAGTAAGACAGGTTGGTGGGGTGGAGGGGGAAAGTATAGCTCAGTGGTAGAGTGTGTGCTTAGCATGTGCAAGGCCCTAGGTTCAATCCTCAGTACCTCCATTAAATAAATTAACTTAATAAATAAATAAACCTAATTATCCCCCTCAAAAAAAACAGAAGTGGGACTGGACCAACCTAATCAGAAAAGGAAGCCAGTATGCCTGTCAGCCAATTGATACAGAAAGACAGAGGGGATGGTTGAAACTGTCCAGGACACACCCCCTGTGGATGTCAGCCAATCATGAAAGGAGGGCAAAATGATGATGGGGCTGGACCAGCAGCTGGCTAGGATGAATTCCTAGGCTCCTCCCCCTTGGTTTTCCAGCCAATCAGGAGCAGGAGAGGGGAACAGCTCTTTTTCAGTACTTTGAAAATGTCATTCTATTGTCTTCTGGTTTCAATTATTTCTGATTAGAAGATAGTCCCTAGTTGATAATACTATATCGTATAACTGAAATTTGGTAAGAGAGTCGAACATAAATATTCTCACATACACACAAAAAAATGTAAATAAATATGTGAGGTGATGAATGGAGAAATCCTTTCATAATGCTGTGCACAGCAAATCATCACACTGTACCCTTTAAATACCTTACAATTTTATTTGTCAATTTTACCTCAATAAAACTGGAAAAAGAAAGAAGATAGTTTTTGTTGTTGTTGTTGTTCCCTTGCAAGGATTTTTATAGGAGCTGTTAGTACACAGGGCATAACCCAACCACACAAACACATACACAATCACACAGAAGGCATCGTATGTATCGCTCTCAGAGTGTTGGTGGAGGGAGAGTGGGATGGAGAACGGGCGGGGCTAGTAACTAGAAAGGAGCGGGAGCTGGGCAGGGGGTGGGTCCTAGGGCACCTGCAGAAGGGGAAAGGGGGCAGGCGTTGGGGGGTTCCACAGAGGGAGGACTATGGTTAATCCCCACCCCCCAAGCAGGAGAACACGATGGCAGGTATTCCCAGTAGGAAGAAGCAGAAAACTGAACAAAATAGAGAGCAGCATGTAGCCCTTTACAAGAATGTTGAAGGCTGTCTTAGAGATGGGTTGCATCACAGTGATCTTGAACTCTGGGGCCCAGACGTAGGCCACAGCAGCCACGGACTCCAGCAGAGGGGATGGGGTCTGCAGATGGACCGAGGATGGTCAGCAGATGCTGAGTAATGGGGACGCATAGAACTAAACCCACCAACAGGAGGGCGCTGAGGTGAGGGCTCACCCCACAATGACCCTGGCCACCGCCATGGGAAAACAGACCCTATGACATCCCAGTGACTCCATATAACACCCTCGCTGGCCTTACAATACCCTCCAAGTAACTTAGAAACTGCATGCTTCTTCTGGCTCCCTAAACCCATCCCTGCTCTCCAATAATGTGCTACATCCTGATTTGCCTGTGCTGTCCGGTTAGCTAAGCCTGGTCCTACCAAATTATTGAAGGCGCCCCTTTCAGTCTAAAAAGTGCTCAGTTTGGATGTTACATTAAGTCACTTTAGCCCAGTGATGCTCAAACTTGAGCATACAACAGAGTCACCTGGATGAAAACTGATAGCTGAACCCCATCCGCAGAGTTGCTGGTTCCACAGGTCTGGGGCAGGGCTCAAGAACGCACATTTCTAACAAGTTCCCAGGTGAAGCTGCTGCTGCAGGCTGGGGACCACGCTTTAAGAACCACTGTTTTAGACGTTACTGACTCTGCAGCCCTGTAACCTTCTTTGTCACTTCTGTAATCCTTTCTGCAATCCGTGCCTCATATTCCTCATCCTGTAACTCTGTCCTAGTCCCGCTTCCCCCTCTCCCAGGTTCTGTAACACCATCCTAACAGCTCCCTGCCCCATTACCCATCCCTCTTCCCATAACCTTTTCCTGCCTGCTACAACTCCCTGTTCCCCATAACTCTTGATCCCTAGGACCCCCTCCTGTAACTCCTCCTCTGTCCTAGATGTGCCCTGACCCTATAAGCCCTTCCATTTCTTCATATAAATCCCTCCCCGTCTCCCCCACAGCCCCTTCCCGAGGCCCCATAACCTCCTCCTGGTCCTTTCCTAACCATCTCCCTGTCCCACAAGAGCCTCCCTATCCACATGCCCTCTCCTTTTCCTGTGTAACCTTCTCTTTGTCTCCCATAACCTTTTCTGAGTCCCTCCTAACCTCCAGCCTCCTTGCCATCCTTCCCCCCAAACCACTTTCCTGGGACCCTACAATTCCCTCCTGGACACCCAGACATCCATTAGCCCCCTGTCTATCCCATTTTTAGCTCTGGCTGTCCTCTCCTGAGCCCCTCTCTGTCCCCTCAAACTTCCCACTATTTCACCATCCACAAACCCAGTTAATGCCACAGCTGTCCTCGCATCCTAACCCTGGGGCTGCCCTGGAGTTGAGTCACAGGGGCGTGGCCCCTGTTGGTGACCGCTTCAGTGACTGGCTGCTCTGACACGGAGGAGGCAGGGAGGGCAGTGTTTCAAGCATTTAGACCCAGTTTCCAATTGGTTCAATGTATTAAGGAGGCATTACTTAAACACATCCTCCCCAATCTCTGCCTGTCCTCATGACTGATTCAATGAATAAAGAGGTGCGGTTTCAGCTACTTGCCTTTTTGTTATTGTCGGTCCCAGTTTGAACTCATGATTGGTTCAGTGAATGAAGTGGGCAGGCCTCAAGTACAGGCTGGTAAATTCTGGACTGATTCTCTGATAGGTTCCATAAGTGCAAAGAGCAGGATGTAATTTTTTGTTTTAACATGAAAGTAGTGGGAGCCTACAGTCCACCAGGCAGTGCTCAGCTCTTGAGGGCCAAGTAACAACCAAGAGAGACAAAATCAGAGCCCTCTTCGAGTTCACAGTCCATGGGTATGATGGGGAAAGGGAGGGTGAAAACCTAAATAAATAAACAAGTGATTTCAGAAAGGATCCAAGACTATGGGGAGTAACTAGGACACAAGGGAGAGGGAACCAGAAGGGTGACATGAGATGAGGTGGGGAGTGAGGGGGTCAGGGGAGGTCTGTCTAGGGAGAGGACATCCAAGCTGAGACCTTGGATGAGGGGCCAGCCATGAGAAGATCTGGGCAGTTCCAGGCGGGGGTTGGGTGCAAGTGCAAAGGTCCTGAGGTGGAAAGGAGAGTCATGTGTTCCAGAAACAAGTACTGTGCAGCTAGAGTGTGGAGAGGCAGGAGGAGAGAGCTGGACACCTGGGGGAGGTATCTGGGTTTGAGGCCAAGAGCCACAGGAACAGGGAGGGTTTAAGCCAGGGAGGGACAGAATCTGATTTAAGTTGTGGACTTGCTCCAGGTGCCCTACGCAGAATGGAGAGTGGAAGGCAGAAGATTTCTGCCTTGCCTGAGGACAGAGCCTGACAGTTCCATTCTTAGAAGGAATGGGGCAGGGCCCTGACCCCTGGGTCCATTGGCTGTGGTGGGATTTGGGCATGGAAGGGGGTGCATCTGGCATAGAGAAGTCCCTGGGAAACGTCAGCCAGGAACAAGCCATGTGGGATCTGAGTATGTCTCTATCTGTCTGTGCATGTACGTCTGTCTCCCAAGATGATGGACTCATCAATGCCCTTCACATGTCAGGCAGTCACCCTCCTCAGTCTCTCGAAGCATGGAAGTTGGAAGGGGCAGGGGTGGTACAGGCAGAAATCATGCTGCCCAACAGTTCTCACCTTGTACCAGCGAAATCACCAACATAGGCTGTTAAGACTGAGAACCCCTTCCACGGCAGAGGGTTCCTTGGCTGGTGTACTTCTTGCCTGGTGGATCCCATGGCTGGTGGTCATGTGGCTCTTGGCCAGTGGGCTACATCCCAGGGAGACCATCATTCCCAGTGCTCCATCTCACTAAGGGTTTGACATACAACCCTGAGCAGACCCATTGCTTGGTGGAGTGTCAACAAGTAGAAGTGAACTGCAAGAGCTCTGCGCCGCCTCACGCTCCCTCCAGGGGCTTACTCAACTGGTGAAATTCCCTTGGATTACAGTCTAACGTCTGCTTTGTCCACAAAATCAGACATAAGGACAAGACTAGGAGAAAAGCTGAAAACAGCTAGGTGCTTGTGCCTGGTGCATGTGTCTGGAACCTGCCTACTGTAAAAGATCGATAAAAAGAAACCTCAATTCAATAGAGCTGAGAGACCAGAAGGGGGCGCTCTTATGCCCTGTGTCAATAGCGGAGCCCAACGGGAAGAGCAGACTCCTCTTTCCTGGCAAGGACTTAATCAATGAAAAGCCACGGGCTCTTTGTTTACTATTGCCTTCTCAACTTCCTTTTCTCCTCTATAAAAGCATTACCCTTCCCTTGCATTCTGGGAACTTGCACATGCCTCACCATGGTTGCAGACCCCAACTGCAATTCTCTACTGACCCTGAATAAACCTATCTTTGCTGGAGAAATATCTGGCAGTCTATTTGTTTCAGGTCAACACTACCCTGTGCTTTTTGTTCTGTCAAAGAATGGGTTTTCTTCTCTGTTATTTGCAAATAATGAATACAGATGGATTCCTACATTCCTGTCAAAACTTGTTGACATCAAATTTAGCTGTTCTTTGGGTATACAGTGGTAGCCCATTGTGGTTTTAATCTGTGGCTGATTGGTCAGAAGCCCAGGTAACAACGTAGGCTTGCAACTGGCATCTGGAGTGGTCGGGAGTAGGGCAGCCTTGTAGGACTGAGCCCTCAACTTGTGGAAGCTGATGTGACATCCAGATAGATAGTATCAGAATTGAGTTGAATTGTAGGACAGCCAGTTGGTGTCTGAGAATTGCTTGTTGGTGTAGAGACCACACCCCCAAAGTTGAAGTTGGTACCAGAACCTATTTAGAGATCTTCTACATTCAATTTAGGCATGGAACTCAATCTATTTAAAACAGAAACCAGAGCCTGTGTTCTCCCTGTTTAATACCTCCAATGGTTTCAATTCACATTTAAAAATCCAACCTTCTTCCTGTGACCTTTTTTCTAGGCTCTCTGTGATCTGCCTCCTGCCCACCCTCTGAGCTTACTTTGCAGCACTCCCATCACTACACTCCAGCCCCATAAGCCTTCTTTTTCCTCCCGGAACAAGCCAGGTTCCTTCCTGCCTCAGAGACTTTGCACTTGCTATTCTGCTTAGAATGCTCTTCCAGATTTTTCTGTGGCTTTCTTCCTTTCTCTCACTTCAGGCCACAGCTCAGATATTAGCTCCCCAGTGAGGGCTTCCCTTCACCACTCTGTCATTAAGTCCTTTTCCTGCTTCTCCAATTTTATTCTTTTTCATAATGTTGACCACTACCTCGAACTGTGCTGCCCAGGACAGTAGCCACTAACCACATGTGGTAAAATTAACTTAAACTAGTTATAATTAATTTACATAAAAATTGAGTTCTTCAGTTCCACTAGCCACATTTCTTGAATGGCATACGGCCATATGTGGCTAGTGGGAACCGTATTGGACAGAGTGGATTTAGAGCATTTTTATCATTGGCTGAATGTTCTATTAGAGAACACTGACCCAGAACTATCTTATTGCTTCATATTTTACTCTTTTTCCTGTGCCCTCTCAATATAGAGTGTAACTTTATGAGGCAAATACCTCATCTATCTGAATCACTAGCACAGTAGAATGGTTGCCCAATAAATGTTCACTGAATATATGAATAAGCCCCATGGTACTCAGTGTAGTGGATACACAGGGGCATGTGAACACGTGTGCACATACACATACATACAGTAGATGATAGAAAGCAGAAACTTCCTCATAGACTCCGTTGCACTTAAAAATCTGATGGAGCGGAGACTTCCCCCAGTACAGGTAAGTTACTGATGTTCAAGTTCAAAGGCTCCAAGAGGACCCAGGAGGTACAGTCCATCACTCTCTGAGGGAAGTGAGCTTTCAAGATGATCTCATACTTTCTGCTTCAAGGCTCTGACTACAATGGAGCAAATGATCACAGAGGAGCCCACCAGGATGCTTGAGATACTGAAGCCCAAGGCCAGTCTGGAATTTATCCGTGCTTTCCTCTGATTCCCAAGGAGGTTGGCTTCACGGGTCTGTGGGGATGAAGGCAAGCTGGTGGAAGTATTTCCAAGGAGGAGGGAGGTGGAGGAGGGGCATCCCTGGGAAGAGGTAGAGAGTGCAAGATAGGAATAGCAGTGTGAGGGAGCTAAGGGCAAGGTTCAGCCCCTCAGGGGAAAAAGGAAGGAAGAAGGGAGCCAGGATGAGGGCATGTGGATGTGGGTAGAACACAGGAGGAGGAGGAACGAGGTGTGGGGGTCCTGGGGAGAAGCAAGGGCAGCAAGATGGTGAAGAGGGAGGGAGTAAATCCCCCAGGAGGAAAAAGAGAAGGACCCGGGGAGAGTAGGGAGGTGGGATGGGACAGAGGAGGTGGAGCTGGGGAAAATGGGAGTTGGTGGTAGCTGGGTGGTGCCCACCTTAATGGAGAACAAGAGGGCTGGTATTGCCAGCAGAATGAAGAAGAAGATGGAAATGACGGCGAGAACCAAATAATCCTTTTCTGGGGGATCCAAGGACATCAGGATGACTGGCTGCATCGGGTAGATGTTCTGCATTGGGATAACCTGTTGCACTGGAGCAACCCTGGACTCTAGGTCCCTGGGATCAGTCCCAGTAGCCATGGACCTTGGCTTGAGGAGGGCAATCTGCAGACAGGGGAAATGGGACCCAGAGAGGGAACATTTGAGTTCCCAAGAAACGAGGACCTCCTTAACCCCTCTACCTAGAAAGGCACTTAAAACGGACACTGCCCCAAACCAGGGGACACTACCCCAAGCCAGAACCCACCACACCTCCATGTTCCTACTTAACAGCCTTGATGGCCCTATAAGACAATTCAACCCTCCTCTGTCCTCTCCTAACCACCCCCATTACCCCATCTATGTTTCCCTCACCCCCTAACTGCTCTCTTCCTCTAAATTCTCCCTACCTATTCCACATAGACACACTTAAACTCCCCCATCCTTTTCTAATAACCCATCACAAACCTAGTTGATGTCCCTAGGACTTCCCTTTGCCTCTCAGTCCCTGAAGTAGTCTTGGGGATTTCAGTCACTGGGTGTGGTTTCTCTACTGACCACCACTTCATTATGACTGGCTGCTCCCATATAGGCGTGTCTCATGTGCCCAGACCTGGCTTCTGATTGGTTCAGTGTATGTAAGGGGTGTTACCTAGCCAATCCCCTTTCTTCCTGCCCTCTCAATTGAGTCAATGAATAAGGGGTCTGGGTTACAGTTATTTGCCCTTTCTGTTGTTCTTCCCAGCTTGAACTCCTGATTGGTCCAACAAATACTGTGTGGGTCTCACTTCCAGACTGAATCTGAGTGCCAGGCACAGTTCTAAGCTTTTTATATACATTAACTTACTTAATCCTCATGACAGAATGAGGGAGAAACTAGTATTATCCCCATTTTAAAGATGAGAAAACAGATGCACAGAGAGACTAACTGACTTGCAAGAAGTGGCACAGCTAGTCAGTGGCGTGGCAGAGATTTGGACTTACGTAGTCTGGTTCCAAGGTTCAGGAGTGTTGATTCAGTTCACATTTATCTGTTACCTGGGTTTATTTGTTTGATCATTTTAAATTCCAGAGACAAAAGGAGAGTCAGAACATGGGACCATGCTACCATCTTTTCAGAATCTCCATCCCAGTTGCATATGCTCACATCTCACCCATCTTAAAAAAAAAATTACTCTCACTCCCATAATCCTACCCCAGTCCTGCATTTCTTGGCCCTTCATAGGCAAACTTCCTGAAAAGAGTGTCTATATCATTTTCACTTCCACATCTCACACTCAATCCATGGCTCTCTGAAATTAGGCATTGGGGCCCACATTGTTCTCAACTGTTTCACTGCCTCTTGTTTCTCCTTCACCTATAAAATTTTGGAAAGCAATATCTACATTCTGCCTCCACTGTCCCTGTTCTTGCAAACCATTTGAGTCACTGCATGATGGAACATGACCCCACTGACTATGAAGTTCCCCTCACCAAAAGCAACTATCCTCTTAAATCCAGAGGATACATCTCAGGTCTTGATGCTCTGTCCATGCCTTCCTTTCTGAGACCTTTCCTGGCTCTTTCCCAACTCTGGGCCAGGTGTCTTCTTCCCTCTCCCACTCTCCGGAGCCACAAGGCACTCTGGAAAGTTGGCACCAAGGGCGCTGGAGGAGATTTCTTGGGAACCAACACCTGTACAGACTTGCCCCTGAAGACAAAGCCGATCAGAGGGTAGATTCTCTAAGCTTATTTAGGTGAGAGGTCAGCATGTCTGTCTGATGAACTAGTCAGCTGTTGAAAGTAAAGGGAGGGGCAGGGCTTGACTATCTCAATAATGGAAAAGCAGATGATGCCTTAAGTCTTGTAGCTGACTAGGAGTCAGGAGGAAGTAGGCTTGTCCCTTCCCAACTAAGGATTCTCACCAAATCCTTTACTTTCTGGAAATTGAAATCCAAGAGTCCAAGCCAAGAAAGCTACTACATACAGAAAGAAGGGCCAAAAAATAAAAAGGAAAAGAGTGAGTGAAAGAAGGAAAAAACAAGAAGCAACAGGTACATGGTAGAGAGGGAGTATTCATCCAATCTGTCCACTGCCTTTAGTCATCATAAACTTCCCCTTGGGAATCCCAGCTGTTGTCTATACTGTGAAGATGGGGCACTGTCTCCACTGCCCAAGACCTAACCTGCAGTGTATACAACCCCTTCTCCATTCCTGCACCTAATTCTGCTCACCACTGAGCACTGGAGGTGGAAGTTGTTCAGGCCCCATCACCTTTTTGGAGATCCTAAATAGTTCCCTCAATTCACTCTATAAAGTCACACATTCCTTCCAACCACCACCAGCACCCTATAGATCAAGAAAGCCAACTAGGAAGCAAACTGCCACATAGTAGGGAAATATTCATGTCAAATGCTCTTCCCGAGTTTCCTGTCACTAAACTGCACATAAACGTAGTTTCTACATTCAATTTCTTGTTGGTTAGGTGGCCCTCCAGCCGAGGGACACACCAGCTAAGGGTCATTCAAGTCAAAGGATTCACCAGACAAGGGATGCATGAGCCCAGGCACACAGAACCCAGACAAGTCACCATCCCAAAGCCACCTCGGACAAGAGACTTGCTATTCAAGAGGATCCCCACCCCCCTGCACCCCACCAAACCAAGGTTCCCACCATCCAAGGGACTTGCTAGAAACCAATCTATATTCTTCATTCTACCCATCTTTGAGTTCTGTCCCCCTCCCCCACCTCATAATTTTTTGCTTTGGAATTTCCACTTTGACCCTTGCCACCTCATAATTTTTGCTTTGGAATTTCCACTTTGACCCTTGAAGTGATCTGAACCAATTCATTCTGTCGAGCACAACACTGGTTACCAATGCCGGGAGAGGAGTCTAACTGCTATTCCAGCATTGGCAAAGATCATCACGATGCCGACCACCAGAAATGGAAGTCCAAACCTTTCTGCCTACTACATCTTGGTATAGGAGTCACCAAGGAAAACAGAACACAGTCAAACACTGGATGGAACAACACTTCTACTCTCATAGACAAGAGGCAGAGTAAGGTCAGTTCCATCAGTGGGCATCTGTCCCACACAACTAGTGGGTACAGTTGGCCTACATGAACTCCTCTTGTCCTGCAGCAGGAGGACTCTGATCCCTTCCTCCTGGAGTCTGAAATACTAAAAGCTTGGGTGTGTGTCTGAAAGCTATTGATCCATATACTCAAGCAGAACAAAGGAATCCACACTGAACCTGAAACAGGGAAAGATAGTCCCACACAAGGTGGTAGGCTCTGCAGGTTGTATGGGCTCTTTATCTCTTGCTAAGGAAATACTCCAACCCAAGGCCCATTGTTATGTGGAAAGTGGAGACTGAAAGGCTATCCAGGTGGGACTGCTTTTCCCAGCACATTCCATGAAGAATTTTCTGATTTCTGGATTGTGTGTGTTGCTGTTGTTCTTGTTGCTGCTTCCGGGTCCCTGACTGTGCTTACATACAGTTATGTCTTTGACAAACCATGTTGGAGTATATATTTCTGGGCTTCACTGTGTTACCTCCTCCTACCCACTTACAACTCCCTGCAAATTGGCTCATCACATCCTCTGTTTCCCTAAAATCACAAGCCAAGGGAACTATGCTAAAACCCAGAGGTTTAGCATCCATTGATGGTTCTTACCAGAGTCAGTAATTACTATGGTGTTTGAATGGTTGCTAATTTTCTAACGATGCATAACAAATGCCCACAACATTAACTCGGAGTTCTGTAGGTTACAATGGCTGAGTTCCCTGCTCAGGTTCTCACAAGGCTGAAATCAAGGTATTGGCCTGTGTTCTCATTTTGGAGCAAAGACCCTCTTCCAAATGAATTTGGTTATGAAAGGATTCAGATCTCTACTGTTGTAGACTTAATGCCCCCAATTCCTTGCTGGCTTACATCTGGGAGCCACTCTTATCTCAAGGTTGCCTGCATTCCTTGCCATGTGATGCCCTTCATCTTAAAGCCAGCAATGGAGGCTCTCCCTTGCCTCTAATCCACCTCCTGCCTAGAATCGTTTTTTGCCAGTAAAGTCGTCCCTCTTAAGAACTCCACTGATCAGGTTAGACCCTCTGGGGATATTCCTCCTATCTTAACATTAACTGACTGGGGACCTTAACTACATCCGTAGAATCCCTTCACAGCGGCACATAGATTAGTACTTGAAGGAGTAACTCGAAGGTGTATATACACCAGGGAGCAGGAGTCTTGGGGCCATCTTAGATTCTGCCTACCACAATGGCAATTTTCCATTTCCATCATTCCATTGACATTTATTAGATGGCATTCTACTATAAGAAAGATGTTACCCCCTTTCATCCTTTTTTCTTTCTTTCTTCCTGTCAGAATGGACTAGAATTCTTTCTTAATTTAATATTTTATACTCTGTTACTGACATTTTCATTTCTGTTCCCTTTGGTTTGTAAGCCTTCTAGCTTTCTCAGTCGGCTTGTCTACTTCCTCGCTCATGCAACTCTTGGGAGGCGTCCCTGGTACCGCGCTCCTGCCCTCTCCGTGGATAGAGTCTTCAGGAAAGAGGAGCCAGGATTCAACCTTATGACTTCCAACCAATTCCTATCAGCGTGGGCAGAGTCAATGTCCTGAGAGAGGATGGAGCCCCCTCCGAGTCCTGGAGGAGCAGAGCAGTTGGACCACACCCCCTTACGTGGGCAGCCAATCAGGACTTGGGCTGGTTTCTCCATTGTTAAGTAATGGCCTTTGACGGTTTGGGTCTTGGCGATTCTGATTAGAACTAGCGGAGGTGTAGTGGGTTTGGCTCTGTTTTTAAGACACTTGGAGTCTTTTGGAGTGGAAAAATCATGCCCCCAAAACCTGCCCCAGAGGCCCCTCCTGCTCCAGGCGCCCCACCAGCTTCAGGCGCCCCACCAGCTTCAGGCGCCCCACCAGCTTCAGACGCCCCACCAGCTCCAGAGGCCCCACCCAGTCCAGCACAAGAGCCTACACAGTCACCTGAAGAACTGGCATTTTACGCCCCAGATTATTTGTGTATGACCATCGTGGCCGCATTGCTTTTCCCTCCCCTGGGAATACCAGCAATCTTCTTCAGTAGAAAGGTAAACCAATGCCTAAGCCATGGCCTGTCCTAT